GATGGCTACTTCTAGCAAGATTAGGGAAGTTTTCTTGAATTATTTCCTCAAATACATTTTCCAGGTTGTTTACTTTTTCTCCTTCTCTCTCAGGAATGCTAATAATTTGTACATTTGGTTGCTTCACATAATCCCATATTTCTTGAAGATTTTGTTCATTTATTAAAATTCTTTTCTATTTTTGTCTGATTGGGTTAGTTCCAAAGACTGGTCTTCAAGCTCTGAAATTCTTTTCTCTGCTTGGTCCAGTCTATTGACAGAGCTTTCAACTGTATTTTGAAATTCCTTGAGTGAGTTTTTCAATTCCAAAAGCTCTGACTGATTTCTTTTACAGATGTTTATCTCTTCCTTCATTTCCTGGATTGCCTTAGAAGTTTCTTTGTGTTGACTTTCAACTTTGTCTTGGATCTCACTGAGCTTCCTTGCAATCCATGATTTGATTCTTTATCTGTCATTTCTGAGTTTCCATTTTGGTTAGGGTCCATTGCTAGAGATCTAGTGCAATCATTTGGTGGTGTCACTACATAACGCCAAAATTTTTGCACTGGTTCTTTCTCATCTAGAGATGCTGGCACTTCTAATTTCTGTAATTATTTTCATGCAGGTAAGTTTTTTTCTTTTTCTTTCTTTCCCTGTCATGTTATTTTTTCTTTCCTTTTTCCTTTTTCTCCCTCCTTAATGAGATTTCTCCCTCCTTAATGTGAAGTTCAACCTACAAGCCCACAGATGGTGCTTATAAGTGAAAGCTGGCTGCAGCCAACACAGCTGAGTATATACTTGATCCTTATTTATTGGCAGAAGCTCTCTACTGCCTCAGGCAATAAGCTGGTTTGTGGACTATACAGTGGTCTGAGCTCCCTACTCAGCCCCAGGGGGACAGGGGCCACAAACAGCAGGGCCAAACAGAGCAGGCTGGCCTACAGATCCCCCAGTGGCAAGCACAGACACTAGTGCCAAGGGAGAATCCAGAGGGCAGCCACCAAGAACGCAGGATTGTGCCTAGGCATGCAGCTGGGAAACCATCTGGGCTCCATGTTCTCTACACAGGAATGGGAGATGGCTTAAACTTCTAATCTAGAAGAGTTGCCATTCCATATGCTTGGAAACCTGCCTGGGCATGGAACACAGAGGGTCCCTTTGAACCACAATCTACGTCCAGGAAGAGTGGGGCGGCTCAGGCTGCTGAACCAGAGAAGCAGAAGGTCTAAATGCCTGTAGATTAGCCTGGGTGTGGAGCAGAGAGAGCCTCACTGCACCACGATCTATGTCCAGGAGGGATGGGGTGGCTCAGTCTGCTGGTCCAGGCAAACAGGTGCTCTCAAATGTCTGGATTTCTGCCTGCAGGTGGAGTAGAGAGGGCCTGTCATACCACAGTATCAGTAGAACAGAGTGGGGCACCCAACAATGGCACACATGGATCAGTTTCAGGTCACCAAGCTGGCCTTGGCTGCAAGTCTTGCTGCCCAGGAGAAACTGCAACTTAGCAGCTCTCCTCCTGACCCAGTCTTGCAATGGAGGAAAGCACAATTCTTGCCCTACAGCTGAGGTGCTTTCCACAGTTCTAGCTGTGGAAGCCCCTACCCCACTCCAGAGCAGGTGCTCTAATCTCTGGCCCAAGACTGAAATGCCTGCACGGCCATGCTGCTGAGTCACCAAGGAATGGCTGGCTTCATACGTGCCTGGATTAAAAATTGTGTCCTGTTTTCCATTTCAGGTCTGGGAGAATGTCTGCAGCTTTTCATGATGTCTGTTTCTCACAGTGTCTCAAATCCTCTCCCCAAGTTGGCTCCAGGGCTTGGGAGAAACAAAGTGCTCTCCCTCAGAGTGGGTTGCTCAGATCCTCAGTGGAAAAGTGAGCAACAGAGAAGGGCTCCCTGCCTCTCTCACTTACTGGGGCTTCACTCACTTTTATCAACTGGATGCTATCACAGGGGCTGTTTGCCAGCATTCCCTTCAGGATCTGAGGTGTCCTTCACAATTCTGGTGAATTTCTGTTTTCCTTCTTGAATTAAAGCTCAGAGAGTTGATCTTTATGTACTACCATGCTATTTCCAAGTGGCTGAGGCACACTGAAAGTCTCTAATCAGCCATCTTGGACTCTACTTTTAATTCAGAATTTAGAATATTACAGAAACTTAGCTGACAAAGCAGCAGCAGGGTTTGCCTCCGATTTTGAAAGTTCTACTGTGGGTAAAAGGCTATCAAACAGCATCACATGCTACAGAGAAATCTTTTGTGAAAAGAAGAGTCGATCACTATGGTAAAGTTCATTGTTGCCTTTTTAGAATTTGCCACAGCAACCCAAACCTTCAGCAGACAACACTGATAAGCGAGCAGCCATCAACATCAAACAAGATCTTCTACCAACAAAGAGATTACAACCCACTGAAGGTCCAGATGATTCTTAGTATTATTTACTAATAAAAAATTTTTCAATTAAGGTATGTACATTTTTTTAGACATAATTATATTGCATACTTAATAGACTAGAATATAGGGTAAATATAACTTTTAAATGCACTGGGAAACCAAAAAAGTTTATGTGACTTGCTTTATTATGATATTCACTATATTGTTGTGGTCTGGAATCAAATCTGCAATATCTCTGAGGCATGCCTGTATACTTACAGAGTACTAACATGTTTTCCAAAAGACAAGTTGTCAAAATCAATAGCAGATACAATTGTTTTTGAGCCTACAAAAGAAAATACTGAAATGCAAATCAAAATAATATATCCCTATTAGTTAATTCCAATTAACAAAGAGTGATCTTACACATGGTACAGAGGCATAAACAATCCCTCTTTCCAAAGAAAGAATACAGAAAGCTTTCTCCTTTAAGAAAAAAATAGAGAACTCGTTTGAAAAATAAAAATAAAAATCCTGGCTGGGCACAGTGGCTCACGCCTATAATCCCAACACTTTGGGAAGTCAAGGTGGGCAGACTGCTTGAGTCTGGGAGTTCAAGACCAGTTTAGACAACATGGCAAAACTCCACCTCTACAAAAAATTAGCCAGGTGTGGTGGCACACGCCTATAATCCCAGCTGCCTAGGAGGCTGAGGTGGGAGGATCGATCACCTGAGCCCAGGAGATTGAGGCTGCAGTGAGCTGTGATCACGTCACTGCACTCCAGCATGGGCAACAAAGTGAGACCCTGTCTTAAAAAATTGAAAAAAGAAGAAATCCTGGTTATCACATATAATTTGAAGTACACTTCAGACTACCTGACATTAACAACGTTGGGTTACTTGTGACATTGTGTTACAAGGCATCCAAGAAAGCTTCACAGCAAGAGAACACTTCTTTAGTAAAAGATTTTTAAGTAAAGAGATGCCTCCTCATCTTTGGCAGTACCTCCATGTTACACAACTGTAGGAGATACTATTTATATTTTTATCTTCTACTCTGTCTCCATAGACCACAGAGTGAATGGTGTCCCCTGGAGTTGGCCAATATGAACTATAAGCCTTTCCCAATGCATTATGGAAATATGCTACCCAAATATATACTGAATATCAAAGTTATTTGTGGATGAAATGCGTAGACTGGGATATGCTTTAAAATACTCTACAAAAATAAGTTGAAAAAGATAAAACAAGAATGGTAGAATTTTAATAACTGTTGAAGCTGAGTGATGGGCATATGAGGGCTCACTATATTGTTCTTTGTACCTTTATGTTTGAAAAGCTCCATAATCAAAAGTTTGAAAAATATATACTACTCCATGGCATGATTTATGAAAAGTTTAAATAGTATCACCTGAGAAACCTTAAAAAACTGTGATGATATAAATGTGATATCAATGAAGCAAAAAAGACCAGACTTGGGTCTTATTTAAGAGGTCATATTTAAATCTCAATACTAAACACTGTCTACCAAGGCAGTGCCTATCAGAGATAATATGGTAGAGACTGAATAAATTATCCCTAATTAATTTTTCATGAGTTTCTAGAAAACACTTGCAATTGCCAGAGGCAAAAATTAGATTAAGAAATATCAGTGTATTCCAATCCTCATAACCATCAAAAAACAACATTCTAGAACAAACACAAAAGCGTCATTAAAGTCCCAGATTCTACAACCCACAACAGAAACTACTAAGGCACAGACCGAGTGAGTGCATTTTCATCTTCTCAGGGAATTCTGATATCAAACAACAATCTGCAGAAGAGCAAGTCTAGAAGTCCTTCACTGTGAATGGCGAACACTACAGCAGATGAGCATGCAGCACAAGTGCTCACATAAGAAAGCAAGCTCAGGAAGAGACCACAAAGAGACTGCCACTGAGAGTTTCTGCTGTTTTGCCAAGACAGTGTGCCCTTCTGATTTCTTCTGCATGCACAGCTAACATTTGTTTGTTACTTCCTGTAACAAACAGGAAGTACAGTATTTCTGTATTTAAAGCTCTCAGGGTAGCCCTGAGGACTGAGAAAGAGACCTAATGAAAGAAAACTACCAACATCCATCTGAAAAGTCAGAAATAAAAGCTTTCCATCATAAATAATTCTTCCCCATGAAGAACAGACAAATGAACAAACAAAAAGCCTCTTTTTGCTAATGGCAGAATCTAAAAAACAGCAATAAAGTTCTATCAATAGGCTTTATCAGGCTCTTAAAAGCTACTTGCCCAGAGAAAAAACAGCCAAACAAACAAAAACACATTTTAAATGGCTTTTCTGTCAGTATAAAAGATTTGCAAAATAGGTGTAAAGAACTACTCATGACAGGATAAAATGCTTTTATATACTTTTCATCTGTCTTTTCATAAATTATAAATAGTAAATTTTCCTCTAAGATTAAACTAAAGAGAGAGAGAGAGAGCCCATTTCCCATTCGTTGTTTTTTGTTTTAAAAATAAAAATTTAAAAGTTGGCCTGGAAAAAAAACTTTTTAAGTAAATGTAAGAACAACACCCTACATACTGTATCTTTCCACATACTCAATTCTCAAATATATCCAAATAGTCTTCATTTTAAAAGGATCAAAATAGTTACTTACCATCCAAAGCAAAAAAGTGCAAGATAAAGGCCCAAAAGGGTAGCAACTACATGTCTTATAAAAGAGCTAGTTTTGCTTGAATGTAGATAAGTTCGAAACCAAATGGCTGCTAGCAAGGCAAAGAGTTGGCACACTACAAAGTTGACCTGTAAAGAAAAATTAAAATTTTGTATTAGCAACACAGACCTGAATTTTTCATGTCATGTTACATTGAAATTCTCAGGACAAAAACACAAAGGTTACACAAAAATTAAGACCTTCCAAATTTACAAACAAAAACAAAAATTAAGGGAAATCCCAAGGATGAGCCTCAAGTTCCAAGTGATGGGCCAATGCCCACCAATACTGTCTCTGCTAGACCTGGCAGGGAACAGGTGTGGCCACGTGGGGAGAGGTGTAGAAGGACACCTGGAAAAATCTGGTTGACACTGGTTTGCAGACACAGAAACAAAAAGCCCAGGGCACCTATGGGTTAAGGGGAAGAGAAACTTGTTTTAATGACTGAAGGAAACCTGTAACTGGTGAAAAAGAGGAGCACTAAATTTCTTCGCAAAAGCTCCGGGAGGGGTCAAAGTCCCCAAGCACCCTGAGACTATAAGGGCACCAGGGGCTGGAGGATCTGGTGGGATGCAAGACAGTCTGTGGCAACGGGAGTAAAGGGGAGTCTACTGTGGCCTAAACATCACCACTGTGGACAGTGGGAACCTGCAGCTAAGCTCTGAGGCATCTCAAGGATTGGCTCCCAAGGGGAAGGAATGAATTAGATATGGGACAAAGCAGCCTTCGAAAAGCTCAAGTCCACCAACCTCAATTTTTAAATTTCCTCATAGTTCACTAGGAACGAAACTGTTCTTGACTTATAGAAGTGAAATACACTCTGGTAAGACTGCTGCTGCTCTTTTCTCCCCAAACAAAAAGACAGAAAATAAGAATGTCTCATGGTAAGTAAAGACAGACTGGAGAAAAATCTCTATTTCCTTTTCCTTTTTTTTTTAAGACAGGGTCTTGCTCTGTGGCCAAGGCTGCACTGCAGTGGTGAAATCATAGCTCACTGCAGCCTCTACCTCCCAGGCTCCGGCAATTCTCCCATCTCAGCCTTCCAAGTAGCTGGGACTACAGGCACACACCACCGTGCCAAGCTAATTTGTGCATTTTTTTGTAAAGACAAAGTTTCACTATGTTGCTCAAGATGGTCTTGAACTCCTGGGCTCAAACAATCTGCCTGCCTCTGCCTCCCAAAGGGCTGGGATTATAGGCATGAACCATCACACCTGGCCAAAAATCTCCATTTCTCTCTTACGAAACACATTCTCATAGAATCTTAGGAATAATAGGCCTTAAAGTCTATAAATAAAAGAAAAAATCCATTGACGTTAGGAACTTGCAAAAAAATACATAACAAAACAATCAGTGTTTCAGGCACCTAAATTGTGAACAAATCACACTATCTACATGTAGCTATCTCCACAGACCCATAGAGATATCTCTGCCTAAAGACACAGACAAGTATGTTCTCTTTCTCACATTTCAAGGAGAAAAACAGTAGAACATTGTTGTACATTGTCTAAGAAACAACTGTTCTTTAAAACAGACTCAATAAAAGCAAAATGTCTTTCCAAAAGTTCTAACACTTCTTGCCTTCTAAAGGATTCTAACAGCATTTTTTTAATTAAGCAAAAAGTGAATAAAATGGAAAAATCAGTATTCTTCATATTAACTACTGACATCTATATGGTTTCTTACAGTTTAAAACTTTGTTTCAAATATCTCTTATTTCTTTCTTTTTCAGATAGCTCCTAATTTAATTATAGCAAACATTTACCAAGCATCTACTATGCGCAAACATGGGAAATCTAAAAATGCACGAGTCCCAGTCCTAGCTCAGGATGACTTTAGAACCTAATGGAAAACATAAACATATACAGAAGGAACGTCAACCCAACATCAGAGTCTTCTTAATGGTTACATAGAACATCCTTCAAGACACCACAAAAGAGCGAGCCTGAAGGGGTGCGTGCCACAAAGCATGTGAGGGGTGAGCTGGGTGGGCAGTGCTTCCCAATCCCGCTCATCTCCACAACCATCGGAGGGGGCAGCTTCCCCTCCCCTGTTCCATATCAATCTATTCATACATTACAAGACAAAGTATGATTCTTGCCAAGAAAGAGTATGTCAAGGACAACACACATATAGGATTGTACAGAATTTTTGAAATCTCTTTTCAACATTGTCATCATTCAGATAAAGAAAATGAGATCAGGCCTCACTCTGGACACTGAATCAAAATCCTTGGGGGGATAGACCCAAAAATATATATAAAAAATAAAATGAAAACACAGGTTCTTATGATCCTCAAGGTGTGAGAAGCACTGTGTTGGAGAAAAAGGGAAATGGCATTTTAAGGAAGAAAACAACATGAAGGAAGCACACAGACAGGAAAGCGCCAACGCACCGCATAGCCAAGGATCACGGGAGATGAGGTCGGAAGTGGGGTGGTTCAGAAGTGAGGGCTTTGAATGCCATGCCAAGGTGTTTGAGCCCATAGTGACGACAAAACCATGGAAGATTTTTAAAACAAGAAAGTGATGAGATTGACCCTCCACCTCTACATATCCAGAACTCTTGGATATCCATGAGAAACTATGAACCACTCAATAGAAAACTGGGCAAAAGGAAAGAACAATTTACAAATATCAATGTCCAATAAAATCTGAAAAATATTCTGTCTCAACTATAAGTAACGAAGTGTGAAATAAACCATCAGTGAGGCACTATCTTCCACCTCTCAGTGCTGCTGGGGACATGAGGAAGCTGGTGCTCTATACTGTTAATCTGACTGTACCTTGGGACAGCTCTTTTAAAGAAAATTGGACAACGGCCACCAAAACTTAAAACATAATATCCTTTACCAAGAAATTCAACATTTACAACTTTACCCCAGATAAACTGGCACAAAAGCACAAGAGCTTAGGCACACACGAAGATCCACTACACACTGTCAGAGCACACATGCACAGGGCCATCCACAGGAGACTGTTACACAAATAGAGCATCTCACATCTACAGAAAAGCAGCATTTCCATTTCCCGTCAGTAGGAAAAAAAAAAAAAAAAAGCTAGATTATCCAATTAATGTAACTGGGGTAACTGGTTTTCCTTTTGGAAAAACCAAGTTACACTCCCGTTTGATAAGCCACGTTGCTAATATTAATCGTGTGCTTATATGGCAGGTATGAGTACACGCCCCTCAGATTTCCACCCGCAGGGGGCATAACTGACCGGCAGCATCATCTGCAGCACACTTGATACCCATCACCAGGCTCATGCCAAGGCCATGCTGGGACCTTCTTAGAACTTCACTTCCCCACAGCCAGGCTCCCTGCCCAGACTCATGCCAAGGCCATACTCCTGGCAGCCTGTGCCTCCACCTGCCCAGCCTTCCTTCCTTCCCCCTCTCCTCCAGAGGGGCCGGTCCTGCAGTCCGCAGCTCTCCCTCCCTCTGCCAGCTCCCCAGAGCATTGTCTCACAGACAACTTCCCCAGCTCATCACTTGCTCTCTAATTGCTCTTTGGCACCTGCTCCTCAGAGGACCCAAGCTGACACAACATTCTAAGCACCTTACATTTATAATCTATTTAGTCTTCACAATAACCCTATGAGGAGAACTCTACTATTATCTCCACTTACCAAGTCTGAAACAGTTTAACTAGTGTAACTTGTTACTCATCAGGTAGTCTAGATCTAGAACTTGAATTCCTGACCACTACATTATACTGCCTACCACATTTAAAAACAAACCCCAAACAGAATAAAGGTCCATACACAACTGTAATAGTCTTTAGTACCAGTCACCTATATCTGGTTCTCCTCCCCTTCTGGGTAGACAGAGGATGTATTTCCTACTCCCTTGTGGGGACAAGTTTTGGTTGGTGAATTGTTAGCAGAAGTGATGTGTGTTGCTTCTTGGCCAGGACACTTAACTGCCAGAACAAGAATCTTCAGAGTTGTGCTATCTGCAATGTTCCAGAAATGATGAGGAGCAAATTACCCTGCCAGTCCATGAGTGGGCAAGTAGCAAGAGGGACCTTTGGTGTTTTGAGCCTATGAGATTTGGGGATAGTTTATTACTGCAGCATAACCTAACTATGAAAACTAACACTATATATATATATATGTATATCCTAGACAAGAATGTAAGAGATTATAATCTTATGTGATATAACAATAATTTAATATAAATTTTATATATTGAATGGATTTATTACATAAAAATAAAAAACTTTTACAAACAACAAAAAAATACTAAAGACATCCTAAGGAACAACGTGGAAGGAAAAAGAACCTATATACACACATGAGATACGTAACAGAGAGTTAGTATTCAAAAGGTAGAAAGAACTCCTAAAAGTCAGTAAGAGAAAGATAAACATCAGTTCAAAAATCAGGGCCAAGCGAGGTGGCTCATACCTATAGTCCCAACACTTTGGGAGGCCAAGGCAGGAGGATCACTTGAATCCAGGAGTTCGCGCCTGGGCAACATGGCGAAACCCCATCTCTACAAAAAAATACAAAAATTAGCTGGGCATGGTGGTGCAGACCAGTAGTCCCAGCTACTGGGGAGGCTGAGGTGGAAGGATTGCTTGAGCCTTGGAAGTCAAGGTTGTAGTGAGCTGTGCTCACGCCACTGCATTCCAGTCAAGGCGACAGAGCAAGAGGCTTTCTCAAAAAAAAAAAAAAAAAGGGGGGGGGGGGAAGAAACAAAAAAAATAAAAAAAAAAAAAAAAATTTTTTTTTTTTTTTTTTTTTTTGAGACGGAGTTTTGCTCTTGTTGCCCAGGCTGGAGTGCAGGGGCACAATCTCAGCTCACTGCAACCTCCGCCTCCCGGGTTCAAGCGATTCTCCTGCCTCAGCCTCCCAAGCAGCTGGGATTATAGGCATACACTACCACGCCTGGCTAATTTTTGTATTTTTAGTAAAGACGGGGTTTCTCCATGTTGGTCAGGCTGGTCTTGAACTCCTGACCTCAGGGGATCCACCCACCTCGGCCTCCCAAAGTGCTGGGATTACAGGCATGAGTCACCACGCCCAACCTGAAACTAAAAATTAAAATCAGATTTTTTAAAATGTGGCGAAAATAATTTTATAAA